CCCCAGTCCTGCCAAAAAAAAGTTACTTCCCTTGACCTCATGGAGTATACAATGTGGTGGTGGTGGGGAACATTAATTAAATAAAGATGCTGCAAAGGTAAAATTGCAACAGTGACAAGTGCACCAGGGAGGGGTTAGAAGGTGCATTTAAGACTATAGACACATTAGGAGGATCTTCTATAGATACAGGCAGCCTAGGAAAGTACTTCCTTGAAGAAATAATCTTGAGGCTGGCAAGTGTGAAGCCCTGGGTTCAAACCCCAGTACCAGGGGAATAAAATGATCTTGAAAGCATGAAGAAAACCTACCTATTCCAAGAAAGTTCCAGAAAGAAGAACATCAAGTACAAGCACCTGTGGTAGGAAAGGGATTGTCAGTAAGATAATGAATGGCTAAGTAGGGTGAGAAGAGGGAGTTGGGAGCAGGTGGAGTTCCGAGAGGAGGAAGGGAGCAGACCAGTTTTTAGGGCAATAGTAGTCATTAAACACATTTCCATTTTCAAAAGATTAATCTGTGGAGGTATGGGAGTAGAAGGAAAGATAAAATTCACTGGGCAGGAGAGACAGACAAGAAGCTACTGCAGTCTTCCAGGCAAGAGCTAATGGTGGCATGAGAAGAAATATAACAGTGGTTGTAGAGCTGGAGAAAAATGGATGACTTCAAGGGATATTAAGAAAATCCCTAGGATTTGGTAATGAATAGGATAAAAGGGGTGAGAGATAGAAACACTAAAATGACTTCTAGGTCTCTGGTTTGTATAATTGAATGTAAATGGTGCCATCACTCCAGACAGAGAGTGATGGAAGAAATCTGGGTTAGGACACAAGAAAGGGGCAGGTTGACTTTGAGGTTTCCTTTGTGTGACAACCAACCAGGGTGCCAATTAGACAGTAGAAAAGAAGGAACTGTAGTTCAGAGGAGAGGCCTGGCTGGAGATAAGTATTTGTGAGTTATCTGTTGGTGGTAATTTAAGTCTGGATATGAATGAGACTTCCTCAGAGAAAGTTTAGGGTGGGAGGAAGAAATAGTTTAGTACCAGGTTTTGGGGATCCTAATAATCAAGACCAAGTAGAGGAGACTGAGATAAAAAAGGGAATCCCAAAAGCCAGAATGCTATGAAAGTATTTCACTTGTATAGTTATTTTTATAATTGAGTGGAAATTTGTGTGTGTGTGTGTGTGTGTGGTACTGGGGCTTGAACTCAGGGCCTGCACCTTGAGCCACTTCACCACCCCTTTTTTGTAATGGGTGTTTTCGAGATAGGGTCTCTTGAACTATTTGCTCGGGCTGGCTTTGAACCTCAATCCTACTGATCTCTGCCTCCTGAGTTGCTAGAATTACAGTCGTGAGTCACCAGCACCCAACCTGAGTGGAAATTTTTAGTTTTAGTGAAAACTTTCTATGGCTCTTTGATTTTAATTAACTTTCTAGAGTTTGAAAAATAATACTTAAAGGCAAGCAATGATATTAAAAATGTTTAACTAGCAGGATTTCCTAGTGTCAACACTTTGACAGGCAGCAAGAGGAGGGAGAATATTCAGAGGCTTCTGCTGTGCCAGGCACTAACCCTGTGGTTGCTGGATCATGAAAGTGCTGGATGGCAGGGGGAACACTAGGATAGGATCTTTGGACAGCAGCTGTTTAGTTTGGAACTGGTGCCTCCTGCTGAGCATTAGCCCTGCTTAAGAATCCTCACCAACTGGATCCTCACCAGCCGGATCCCACTGGCTAAAGATCTTCACCAGCTGGATCACAACAGCTCTGTTCTCCACCACTCTCTGCTTGTCGTACCTCCTAGACTCTTCTGTAGCCCCACAGTGCATTTAGCATTTCTTGTGAATACCTTGCCCTTTCATGCCCCCACAATCTTCTCTATGACTAGAATGCCTTTCTCCTCTTCATTTGGCAAATTCTGTGCAGCTTTAAAGGTCCAGGTGAAAAAAATCATCTTATCTGTAAAGTCCTCCTAGACTTCCCAATGTAGGACAAAGAGTTTCTTCGTCATTATTTTATGTATACTTTTACTATAGTGCTTATCTCGTTGGTTTATGGTCATGGTCCTGTTTCCTTTGCAAAGTTATGAGCTCCTTGTGGACTAGGATTGTCTTACCTGTTCTTATATCCCCAGCATCTAAACAAATGCCTGGCATACGGGTGAAGGAAGGAAAGAAGGAAGGAAGGAAGGAATGAACGAAGGAAGGAAGGAAGGAATGAACGAAGGAAGGAAAGAGAAAGAGAAAGAGAAAGAAAAAGAAAGAAGTAGAGAGGGAGGGAAAGGGAGAGAGAGAGGAAAGTAGATAAGAGGCTGCCTAGGGCTGAGGGGTTAGGGAGAGAAAGGAAATTGATTGCTTATAGGTTCAGTGTTTCTTTGTGAGGTGATGAAAATGTTCTAAGTTGATTGTGATGTTGCCCAACTCTGTGAATATACTAAAATTCATTAAGTTGTATACTTTAAATGAGTGGCGTGTTTAGTATATACAATCTTCATAGAACTGTTATTTAAAAAACACCTCAGCAACTCCTCTCACTGGGTCTGATTCAAAGGGAAGCTCAGATGTTTCCTGCTGAGAAGGAAGGTAGACTCAATAGGAATGAGTGTGCATGGGGTGTGGTTGCTGTGAGGTGCTGGCTTGGGAAAGACACAGCAGAAGTGGAAATCAAGTTGAGTACTGGCAACAGAATGGGTCACAGAATATTTCAGAAGGAAGGATTCTGGTGAAAACGGAAACCACTTCAATGAAACCAGATTTCAGCAGAAAAGACTGAGGTTAGCTTGAGAAGGGTGAAGTTGTACTTTGAAAGTGGTGGCTAAGTGTGGTCTTCTCACATGGCCTAGGAATCATTTGAAGAGAAAAGAGTGTTAAAATTCTCATACATCTTTTCTAGAAACCCATTGAAAGGAGAGCTGCTGTCCCTTCCCTGCATCTGGGCCCTGTTGAGAGGTGAAATGTCATCATGCTGAGCCAGATGCCTAGGCTAAATAAAACCCTGGATTTTTACATTGCAGATGCATTGCCTTGTGCAGTTTCCAACATCTCTCTGTGCCTCCACTTTCTCTACTGTGAAATGGGGGTAATCTAAGAATAATATAGTGCCTTCCTCATAGGATTGTGGTGAGGATTAAATCAGATCATATGTGAAGAACTTAGCACAGTGCTATCATAGCACTGGAAGAAGGTAGACCCTAATGTGAGAATCTGGAGCCCTGAAACAGGTTGTTGGAGATGTGCCTGGTGTCTGCCTGAATGAACCCAAAGCTTCAGGGAGGAGACAGCAGCTGGCTGGGGTCAAGATGGCCACTGGAAAATGGTCTGTAGATAGTTAGCAGCCTCATTGCTCAACCTGCTACTGGGGTTCATACTTCCTGTTTTCGGTGTCTGGGAGCTCTGATGCTGGAGCTGCTCAAGTTTGAACAAGATCTTTTTTGGCCCCTGGCAGGGGGTGGGGGTGGGGAATGCAGAAGCTGAGCAGCTACTTAGCCTGGGCTGGGCCCCTTAACTTCAGATCATCCCTTTTCTTTCCTAGCAAGGTTTTGCTCCCACAAAATATTCAATGCAATTCTGGGATGGGAGAGAAGAAAGGGTGCAGATTCAATTCTATAGAAAGTTACTTAGCTTTGTAATAGCCACTGTTTGGGTGCTTTTATTAGCACCCAATTGTGTTAAGAAATTTATGAACTCATGAATCCTTGTAACTCCAGGAGGTGGATATTATTATCTCTTTTTTTACAGTTGAGAAAACTGAGGCACAGAGAGGCTAATAGTCTTTTCTAAGCCACAAAGCTAGTGTTAAAACCAGGATTCCAGCTCATGCCACCTGACTCCAAAATCCATGCTGAACTACCACAGCACACTGTGTGAAACCACATGGCAGATGATTCTTGACTGGCTCTTGACTCCCAGGGCTCTGCAGAACATTCAGGAGACCTTGTGTCCTCAAAACCCCATGCAGAAATCTGACTGTGCAGAGAGCCAATGCCGACCATATCTTGAATTTTTTGCACCCTTCATATATTGTCCCCTAAGGTTCTCAGTTAATGGTGCATATCAGAAACACCTGGTGAGCTTTCCTAAAAATCACGAGCCCTGGCACCAGCCCTGATCTGAATCATAATCTTTATAGGTGAAGCATAGGCGTGTATATATTTTTAAAATGTTCTCAGGTGACTCCACTAAGAAACACTGCCAAAACCCATTAACGTGACTTGGAAATTCCAACATTTTGGCATCTAATTATACCTCCCAGCCTACTTTGTATACCCAATTCTTCAGAATCTGATGTTTGGTTCAAAGTATATGATCACCCTATTAGAAAATCACCCAGCTTTAGATTCTTGGTTAAAGTCAGCCTAAGTATTTTGGGAGTGAAAAGAATGGAATAAAGTTACTCCTAAAGAGAACCATTATGTACAGTTGTACAAGTTCTCATTACACAAAGGCATCATACTGAGGAAGCAAGTGAGAGCTGAAATTCAGCTTCTGTACAACTTAACAAGCTGTGGGCCCCTGACTTTGTGTGTGTGTGTGTGTGTGTGTGTGTGTGTGTGTGTGTGGTACTGGGGTTTGACTCTCAGGGCCTCCTGCTTGCTAAGCAGGCACTCTACTGCTTGAGCCACTCTACCAGCCTCCCTGACTTGTTTTGTATATTAGGTACTATGGAAGCTTTGCCTTACATTTCTCCTAACCTTGCCTTCTCAAAGGTATAGTAAGGGCAGAGATGTCCCATTAACACACTGAGAAAGGCCCTCACAGGCCTCACACAAAGATGATGGGAATTTTTCTTCCTTGAGTGCCACAAATTCACACTGACACTTTGGGTCAGCAATTTTCACTCACGCAAGTGTTCTTCTTAACCAATGAGTGTCTGCTCAAGCCCCAAAGAAAATCTGGGATGCATCACCTTCCATCATTTTCTTTTTATGCTCTTCACCTCCTTCTCATAAAAGCATCAAAGAGAAAACAAAATCTTCAGAAAAATCACATTTTATTGGTTACATTTATTCATAATTATAAAAATAGATATAAATAAAATAGCAGAATATAATTATTAAATATTCAGTATACATGAGTGGTCCTTACCCCACCCAGTGAGGACTGGATGAACTTGGGTGATAGGATAAATGGCCAAGAAAGAGACATGTATGTAAAAGTGAAACACATTTAGTGCTGGTCACAGGTCATGCTTGAGTATGATACAATCACAGGCACCATCACATGGGAGACCCAAGAGGCCCCAGCTGTGACATACGCCATCTCCAGACAGAACACTCTGTGTGGCATCACAGTTCACAGTTTAGGGAACTGTTTAGACTTGCAGTAAGACACAGGAACATACCAGCTCTTACACTCACAGCCAGTACACAAGAACACATATACACATACATAGTATTTTCTGGAATATTTCATGGAATGCTGGAGCCCTTCCCTCAAGTCATTAGTGTATCCACTCCCCAAACAGCTATTCCCACATTGTCCAAGTGACCTTAAGAGACCTCAGCAGTTGCACTTCCTATTTGGGGAATTATGCATTTCCCAGCAGCAGGCTTCATGAATGACCTCTGTTGGGGGAGCTAGCTCTCCTCCCACCATCCACAGGAGAATCCATTTTATAACTCCATGAGGCTTTAGTTCAGAAAAAACAATTACTGGTCAATACCATCCTGAGCCAGGACCACCTCTCCATCCTGGCCAGGAGGGTCTGGGTGGCCAGCACCCAGGCTCATGTTTGAGGGTAAAGCTATTATCCTCTGGTAGGCAGCACAAGCAAACCAGTTTTGCAGAACCCATCTTCCCCAGCCTCTTCCCTACCGCTGATGGAGATGATTCTGCTGCAGAGATGACAGTCAGCATAGGAATGGGCAGTCCATTTGTTTCCTCCCTTTGCTCCCTAGGGGAGCTCAGAGGCCATTCTCTTTCATCATATGGTTATGGATCCAGTTCAGGAAATATGAGACTCTTGTGTAGACACCTGGCTTGTCCTTCAAGGCACATCCACTGCCCCAGCTCACAATCCCAGTCAGAGTCATGCGACCGTTGGTAGAGCAAACAAGGGGTCCTCCAGAATCTCCCTGGTAAATCAGAGATGTAAGAGATGAGCTGTGGGCTTTCTAATTCCCCACTTAGCCATGATTGAGAGAGCTAGCAGAGATTCCTAGACTCAAAGATCTTGGTGACTCCCCCATTTACTACTACATCAAGTTTAAATCCTCTGATGCGTGGCTTTATCTGCCACCCTTCCATCCAAACTCCCAGATCCTGCTTGTCCTCCCTACCTTGGAATATACCATGCTCAGTGTCAGTTTTGTATCTTTCAATTGAAACATCCTCCTTTCTTCCCCCTCTTTCTTTCTTTCTTTCTTTCTTTCTTTCTTTCCTTCTTTCTTGTTGTTCCTTTTTTGTATTTTGAGAAAGGGTCTCACTACAGATGTAGCCAAGTCCCAGGCTGGCTTCAAACTCAAGATCCTCCTACCTTAGCTTTAAGAGTGCTGGGATTACAGACATGTGCCACCATAACTGGCCCCTCTACCCTTTAAATATTTATGAAATCATATTCTCTTTAAAGCCTCCCCTCTTTTTCCTAAACTCCTGATTTTTTTTTAAATGGTACTGGAATTGAACCTAGGGCCTCTAGCTTGTTAGGCAAGTGGTCTACAACTGGAACTGTGCCACCCAGCCCCACCTGATCTTTTATAATTCACATTCTATATGTCCTAAACACCAAGTTATATTGCCTTCTACTTATTTCCTTTTTCTTAAGGTCTTAGTCCCCTCAGCCTGAAGTGCTAGCACATTGCCATGCTCACAAAAAAATGGTTTAAACCCCAATAATGTGAGCTCTTGATTCTGACTTCTTAGTGCTTTGGCTGAAGAGAGACTCCTCAAAGCTGGCAGAACCAGGCCCAAGAACTCTGGGAAGATTTGGGGGTGACTGATAGAGATGCTTGGGACTCTCACCTGGCAAGAATCTTTTTCCCACTGTGGGTCAGCAGCACACAGCATTTTGGTGGTGACTTCGGAGCCATAGTAGTGGGGCTGCTGACACTCCTTGTGGGAAACTAGCTTTACAACAGTCATTTTCAGCTGCTCTGGATAGAGATAGTCAGCTAGATGGAGGAAACAGGAGGAGTTTGCATTAAGATGTGTCTGTCCACTGGGACTCTCCCAGGGGAGGGAACCAAAAAAATGTCCCTACTAGGGAAAGCCTTTATCCCTCCCAAAGCTTCTCACCCCCTATTTACCTTGGTGACTCATCACTCCCTAAACAGCACTCCCACTCTGTCCCTGGACCTGTTTGTCACTTCTGTAGCGCTCCCATACCTGTCTTCATAGTCTTCTCTTGATTGCTGCTGCACTCACTGCTAGGTTACAATTGTCCCCGAAAATCCCCTCAGTCAGCCCCAAATGTCACTTACCAGGATTCTCTTTCCCAAAGCCAGTGATCTCACAGCTTGTGCCAAAATGAGCATCATTCAACTTTGGGGGCAGGCAGATAGTCTGTATGGACCGAGATGGCTGCGCACACTGGCCCAGGCTGGAACGAATCTTCAACAAGGCTGGAAGAGAGAAAGAGGGTCAGAGGAGAAAGATAATCATCATTAAGTCAGGTAGTCACCATCTGTCCCCTCCAAATGCTGAGGGAGTGCTATGTTTATCCCTAGGTCAGGTAGGGTCATAGGTCATTCAGGGAGGTCTGCTGGCAACTTGTCACCTGGAAGCCTCCCCTGCCCATACTCCAAGAGCTTTGTTCCAGCTGCTGATGAAGGTTTAGGCAGTCAGGGCTGCCACATACAGTTGAACAGGTTGTTTTCTGCAAAAAGCCCCTGTTGAGGGAGCTGAGCTAAAATTCAGCCAAGGCTCTCCTCTTCAAATTCTGTATCCTTGTATAGACAGAAGCTGTATCCATCCTAATTTGCACAAACAAATTAGGCCAAGCCATATGCCCATAGGGCTGTTTCTACTTAGAAGAAGCTACCTGTTTGGGAAACTCAGAGTGCCAAATTTTCCAAATCTGCAGAGGAACACTAGGCCTTTCATATATATATATATATATGAAATATATATGAATATATATTTCATATATATATATATATATCACTCTGAACTCTTTCCCTCTATTCCCTTTGATGTGTAAGGCAGGATCTTCAAGTTCCCCTACAACTTCCACCACCACTTGGGTCTCTCCTTGGACCCTTTTTCCTGGCCATTATCATTCTGCTGGTTGAGGGTTTTCCACTCACCAATATCATTGTGGTGCGCCAGGCTGTCAGCGCTATAGTTCTCATGCAAGATGAGCTGCTCTACCTCAAACTTCATCTCCCCAGGAGTCTTGGAGTTCAGATTTGACCGGCCCAGGTACACGATGTAGTCCTCTTTCTGTGGATGATTACTGTGGGAGATGAGACCTGTTAGCCTGGTCTCATGAAATCCTGTCACTTTCTTTCCCCCATCATAGAGACCTGAAAGTATGACTTGTCCCCAAGACTACAGGCTGCATGGAGAAAGGCTGTGGGGGAGAATGGAGATGGAATCCTCCGCAGGGAAGGAGAAAGGGATGTGTTTGGGGAGGGGCAGGAGGGCTAGGTAGAAGAGACAGAAGGACGTACATGAAGCAGTGTGTGGCACTGACCACCCAGCAAGGACTGATGAGGCTGCCACCACACACATAGGTGACAGAGCCACCCTGATGCATCCTGTAGATGGCTGCAAACCAGGGCTGGCTCTCGATAGTAGTGAATTCTCCCCCAATAATCTTGAAGCGAGGCCTCAGAGCCTTCTGGCCACACTGGAACTCTTCTTCTGGTGGAAAGGAAGGTCTTTTTCCTATAGGAGAAAGAGAGGAATGTCTTGGGGGGGGCAGGAAGGACAGGACACAGTATCTCACTAAGGCAGGCCTTACTTCTCATCCCTTCTGAGATGGAACAAGAGGGCACATGAGTTTGTTTCCTTCCACCCCACTGTCATAAGAAGTCAATGACACTCACCAACAGAGCAGTCATGCACCATGCACTCTTGGGCAAACTGCATTCGGCCAATCTGCACATAGCACCAGGGCCACCTCTGGTTGTCTGGGTTCCTGGCAACACGGAGGAGAAGGAGATGTCATTCCAATCCAGAATTCCTTCCCAACATCTTCACTTCCAGGGAGAACTCAACCAGAGGCCTGACTTTTCTCATGCTATAGCCAGCACTCTGGGAGCAGAGGGGATGATAACAATGGTTTTTGAGAGGCCATGAGGCAGGCTTCTGGAACTTGGTCCCCACCTTACCTGCAGTAATTGTGTTTCCCCAGGCCCAGATGAAGCGCATCATGTCTATGGGCATGATATGGTTTCTTAAGGACAGCAGGAGAGTTCCAAGCCAGACAGGGCCGGCCCTTGGTGTTGGTGTTAGCCTTTCCTCGATAAGAGTGACCATTTCCCTCATAGCAGGTTTTTGATGTATCTACAAAAGATTTAAGGATGAGAAGATATTAGAAAGAGGGGCCTGGATGTCAGTGGCTCACCCCTGTAGTCCTAGCTACTCAGGAGACAAAGATCAGGAGGATGGTGATTGATTGGAAGCCAGCTCAGGCAAATAGATCACAAGATCCTAATCTTGAAAACATCTAATATAAAAAAGGACTGGAGGAGTGGCTCAAGTGGTAGAGTGCCTGTCTAGCAAGTGTGAGGCCCTGAGTTCAAACTCCAGAACTGCAAAAAAAAAAAAGAAAAGAAAAGAAAGAAGGGAAGAAGTTCAGACAGGCATTTCAGAGATAACATGGTTTTCAGACCTAACAGATGACACTGGAAAAGGTCTCCTTCTATCCTCATCTCACCTTTGTGCAGCCACTGCTTCATGAAGTAGTGTATGTATGTGACTGCATGTATCACAGAAGGATGAAGAAGTCACCCACACCACCTCAAGCTCCTAACTTCTGCTTGCTTTTTTTTTTTTTTTTTTTTGACAGGTCACCCTGTGCAGCCCAAGTTGGCCTTAAACTTGCAATGCTCTGGAGTGCTGGGATTACAGGTATGAGCCATCATGCTAGGGTTTTGCCTGCTCTTGCATCCCTACCCATCTGTCCTGCTCTGGAATCTCTGGTGCTCCCTCTTCCCAGTTAGAGTCATTGAGATTTCCATACCTATCTCACAGTGCTCCCCTTGGAATTTCTTTGGGCAGCTGCATCGTTGTATGTTGGAGAAGTACTTGTAGGAAACACATTTTCCTCCGTTCAGACAGCCACAGTTTGCTGGAGAGCACAAAGGTGAGGTAAGCAAGGAGCATGGGAGGAGGCAAGGGAGAGTCAGCCCAGCGGCAAGGGATGGGCTGCCTCCTGAGGATTTTCAAGATGTGTGTGCAGCCAACTATTGTGGCAAGGGGTGAATACTCACATGTGTCAGAAGCTGGATGTTCACGGCTACCCTGCAAGAAAGGGGGGGAGGAGGGGTCACCAAGGGTGTCATGCTCCTGGACTCCAGAGTAAGGATAAAATGAGCCCCAAAAAACCAGTCTTCCCCTCTTCTCTCTCTTTCTCTCTCTCTCTCTCTCTCTCTCTCTCTCTCTCTCTCTCTCTCTCTCTCTCTCTCTCTCTCTCTCTCTCTCCATATACTTAACCAGACCTCCAATGGAAGATCATGAGTTTCCAGCGAGGAAAAACTGGATTGACTCAAGCAAGCTTCACCTATCTGGTGCCTTGAGGCTAGGACTGTCCCAGTGCTGCTTCTTCCCTTGCCGGATACTACGAACCACCTTAGTTCTTAGTTCCCTACTGACGCACTTGACCACAGGAGAGTCTGGCCCTTCTCTGGATGGAATCCAGAGGATTCCAGCTCCCTATGCAGCACTTCCCCTCCTCTGGCTCCGTTCAGGGGTCCTGCAAGCCCACTCCTGCGAAGTCAAACCAAGAAAATCACTTACTTCGGAGTCGCTCACGACCAGGATGCACAGGAGGCACGCCACCAGGACTCTCATAGTGGTGCGGTTAGGCTCTACACAGCGTTCTGAAAGGGAAGGAGAAGTCAGGGCAAGAAGCGCAGGAGAGGGAAGGCGCGGCGGATGGGTTACCGCAGTTCAGGGAAGAAGCCCCAGGCCCCCTGCAGGGCGAGCTGGCGGTGACCAAGGGCCCCAGGACTGGTGATCTCTCCTTTCAGGGGGCTCCAAGCTCGCAGACTAACGTGGGCCGGCACCGCAGGGGGACGCGTGGGACGGGAGAGGTGAGCTGGCTGGTAGCCGCAGCGCAGCCAGGGCAGCCCAAGGAAGGGGGAAGGGAGGCGTGCAGGGCCGGGGCCGCGGTGCATCCCTCCCGGGTTCTCAGGACAAGCATCACTCACCCGTAGCTGCGGTGGAAGAGCGCAGATCTGCGGTGGAAGAGCGCAGATCCGCACAGCAGGGACAGGTCGAGTCTCTGAGAGCTCCTGTCTCGGAACTATGCTGCTGGCGGGCCGCAAGGGCTCTATATTAGGACCCGCCCCAGCCCTGGCCCCGCCCCAGCTGTGATCGCCCTCCCTTCCCTCCCTTTAGCTTCCCTGAGGTTCGCAGAGACCTGGGCTGCTCTTGCTTCCGCCACTTTGACAAAAACTAAGGGACAAATCCAGCCCTAGCCAAGGTGACAAACGCGGTCTGGCCTGAAAGTCCAAGAGACATGTAAATTCTTAGCCTCACCTGGTTCTCGTGCAGGCCCCAGTGTAGCCTCCTGCCCCTGTCCCCAGAACTGCAAAGCGCAGAGGGAGCTCGAAACACTCCCTGCCCTGAAGCCTCTTCCCGAGTCGCCTAATAAGTTCTTCTCGAACCTGTCCACCCTCAGCCCCCACTGCCTACCAGAGTGATTCAGACCCCTGATGTAGGGGCATAGTCTGTTTATCGACAGGAAAAATGTGTGGGGACGTACGTTCCCTGAAACACAAACACAAAAACACCTGCTGACAAGGGCTGCCTTCTGTCGAATGCTGGGTCCCCAAACATCACCAACACGACCAATGGGTCAGAAGACAAAGCTGCGTTTATTACTCACCATAGCAAGGGAATTTAATGGTGTATCAGAAGGGGAAAGGCAAAGTCAGATTTTATTGATCAACCTTAAACTAAACAATTCAAAAACTCTGCATGATAATGGCTGAATACGGATCATGATATATTGTAGGATTGTGAGAATAGTCTAAGGGCACAAACTGTTGATGCTTTCTATGATGCTTCTGGGGAAATCCTGGAAAAGAATAAAGTTAGTAAAGACAAAGGAACAGTAAAACCTTATTAATGTAGGCAGTAAACTGTGGTGGAGTAGGAAGTTCTGTTTTTCTCTCCCAGTAGAGAAACTGAAGGATCTTGAGGATAAAATAAGGTTTGTTTTTCACCGTATGACATTTTACGCTGTTTAATTTTTTTTATTTTTAATATGGAATGCTTCACGAATTTGTGCGTCATCCTTGTGAAGGGGCTGTGTTAATCTTCTCTGTATCATTCCAATTTTAGTATATGTGCTGCACTATTTATATTATGATAAATGTTTACACAATTGTTTATTGAGGTCAATTGACCTCAATAAACAGTTGTTTATTGGCCTCTGGAAAGACATCATGTATAAATGACTTGTCGTACCCTTCCTAAGGACAAGCACGAAAATTTGTGTACACACACACACACACACACACACGTCTCAGACACAGCCAGATGTACACAGAAAGGACTCTTTGGTTCGGGCACCTCCATTTCTTTGCACTAGTGTCAGGAACAAGGGCTTAGGGTCATTTTGATGCTACCTAGTGAAACTGGCTTCCTTCATAGGAGGGAGGAGGCTGAGTCATCATAATTCATTAGGGCCCGAACCTTGGTTCCTTTTCTTGCTGTCCAATGTTTCCCAACAGCATTTTGGTCCTTGGGTCTGGGTCAGCACTTGAGAGAGGCAGAAGGAAAGCAGGGAGAGTAGGAAGGAGGAAGGCCCCTTTGCGTCTCCCCAGCCAGAGGTCCCAAGATGCCAGCCTCTGGATAGGAAAAGTGCAAGTTAGTGATCCAGCTTGGGGAATGCAGGTGACCCATCTTCCTCTGGAGTTAGTTTCTCAGTGCCTACTAAGCTACCAGGCCTCCACTGAGTCAGAGGTTCCACAGGTCTCAAGCCAGACTTACTACTTCCTCTACAAGACTGTAGCCAGTTTTGTTTGGATTTGAGAACCCATTAATTGTAAATAAACGTGATCAAAATGTAAACAGATAAGTTACAACCTCAGGACTAAGCCTGAAACTCCAAGGTTAGTTATTAGGAAATTCCCAACAGGCTATCGTGATTCACATTGCTCCCCCAACAGCTCTCATGACTCCGAATTACTTGGCTGGGGGCTGTCATGCTGATTCTTTGAGAGCTGGATGACCTCATTTCCTCCTGGACAAACAGACCGTTATGCAGTGTGACATCTCTCTTCCTTCTCCTTCCCCTGCCTCCTCTTCACCTGACTGAATAATCCTAGTGCCTCTAACTTCATAGAACCGCCTTTTCCACTTTCCAGTTGCTTATCTTCAGAGGTCTTTGAAATCTCTGATCATCTTTTGGTGCAGTCTGTGCTAGACTTTCAGTTCTTTGGCAGCAAAGAACATACATTAGATATCTTGTCTCTCTGTCAGCACTTGGTACCTGCCTTATTCACATAGGTGCTTTATTATGAATGAATCCGTGAATGCACAAGAACAGAGAGCTTTGGGGAAGATTCTCTCTCTCTCTCTCTCTCTCTCTCTCTCTCTCTCTCTCACTCACACACACACACACACTCACACTGGATTATACTATTTTTTGTATAGTGTTTCTGTCTTGTGCTTAAAGACACTTTGAGGTGAACCATTCTTCTTTAAACTTACAAATGGCTTGTGTGTTATTTCCATTTCATAGATGAGAAAAATAAGGTAGAGAGAAGGTACCTAGGCAATGAGTGACAAAACCAGTACTAAACCTAGGTCTGTGCTCTCTATCTCACTATCTCCATAAAGAAGCAGAATGCTGCAAAGAGCACCAGGTGATGGAAGATACTTCGCTGAGGTGTTCAGTAGGCTTTGGAGATCTTCTAAAAACAATGCTTACACTTGGGATCTGAGCTCCTAACATGCCTACTCTGTAATGTAAGTTAGTTGCTTATCTGAATTCTAGGAGTTACTTTGTGGTTTAGACTCTCTGAGCTTTATATTGAGGGTGAGAGAATAAGGAACTGAAGATATATGATTTCATTCTTTTCTAAACTCCAAGATGGAAGCCACCAAATCCCTGCCTCTGTGCTTCAGGAGTCCAAACCTCCTGAGTCAGATGTGGTAACAGAGACTGATGGAGGGCCCCCTTCCAGGAATTGCTTATAAATAGGCAGGCAGATGCCACGTGTGCAGGGAGTAGCAGAGTGTTAAACCTGGCCTTGAGACTATGTCCAGGAATCTGGGCCCCTGAAAGGCTATTTTCTGACCAACTGAACTCAGAGGGAAGTTTATATTGACTCATAGTATGTGTTCCTGGGTTGCTATACTAAGAATGTTCAGCATGGTACTGTAGAAAGACCATACCCAAATGGAATGATCTTAGACAAGTAACCAAACTCTTAATCTCTGTTTGCCTGTCTGTAAAATGAAGCAACACCTGCCCTGCCTCTGCCTCATTTTGCAGATTGAATGAGATCATGTTTGGGTATGAAAGTGTTCATTCATTCCTTCAGTCATTAAGTACTATTTTGGGGGTTAAGCAATACAGTGTTTGAACTCAAGGTCTTGCACTTGCTAGGCAAGGGCTCTACCACTTAAGCCATGCCTCCAACCTTTTTGCTTTTTTTCAGATAGGCTGGCCTCAAACCCCAATCCTCCTACCTACACCTCCCATGTAACTGGGATTATGGACATGCTCCTTCATGCCTGGCTTGTTTGTTGAGATGGAGGTCTTGTTAACTTTTTTCCTGGGCTGGCCTTGAGCCATGTTCCTCCGGATCTCTGCCTCCAAAGTAACTGAGATTATAAGTGAGCCACCTTGCCAAGCTACATTCAATATTTTTGACAAGGCTACTGTGTGCCAGGTGTAGTTCTAGACACTAGAGATGGAAGAATGAACTTTGTTTGGAATTGAGCCCAGGGTCTTGAAGATGCTAGGCAAATGCTCTACCATTGAGCTAGATTCCCAACCCCAGAAGGATGAACTGTGTAAAATAAATTCCTACCTCAATGTTTCTTTTCCCTTCCTGACTGTAGGTCTATTGGTCAGAAGACCAGGTCACATTGGAGTCCATCACCGGATTCCAGTTAAGTGGGGAAGCTGTGTTGTTGGCCTGCAATTCCCAGCAACTGGGCAGCTGCAGTGGACAGCTGTATGTGCTGCTGCCCCCACAGCCCCAACTCCCACTCACCTCCCTGTGGCTCTGAGCCACCGGAAGCTCTTCTCTTTTCCTCTTACATATAGGCAGACATCTCAGCAGTTCTGGGAAGAGAGCATGGAACACTGGTCCATAGACCTTGAGTCCCTTCTCAGTGTGTTTAGTCCTAAAGGTGAATCTGGCAGGGCAACAAAAGCCATGTCTGGGCCTGTAACATGATAGGGAGGTGCTGGAGCTGCGAGGCCCCCAGCGGCCTGTGGGAGGGGGTGGAAAGAAGCCACATACTTGCTTCCTTACTCATGGAAAGCAAAGAGCCCCAGAGCTGGACCCTGAGGTTATACTATGTCGTCAAGAGAAGGTGGGGCCAAGTTGGTTCCTCCAGCTTCAGCCTAGAACTCTCTAAACTTTCTGCCCTTTCTGGCCTCCATCTCAGGCCTGATAACCAGCCAGTCAGCTCAGACCTCTGCGTGAATGTCTTGGGCCTTGGCCAAATTTTTCTTTGCTTCTAACTCAAGCACAATTACTACACAAGTCAGGAACTTACTACCTTAAAAGAGCATTGGTCATGATTTCCCATACTTTCTGAATTCTGAGCTCCCCACCAGGAACCAAAGTCCAAGTCTTAGACTAGGACTTCTACGTACAACTCAAGTTACCATGCAGGGGGGCAATGGATGGTTAAGTGGAAGCTAAGGGGCACACCCAGGAATGAAGGGTTAGATGAGAAACCAGAAACTGGTGGGTTTGCTGAAAACTGCCAAGAAGTCAATGACATTTAGGAAATACGTTCAGTTTGGAGCTGAAGTACCAAGTAATCCCTGTTCAGAAGGAAAGCAAGATAACATCCACAGCCCGTATAATGCATACTTTCATGTGCTCATGGCTCTCTCAAACTAGAGTCTTATGCTGGATTCTATATACTTTTCTGTCTTTAAAGCAAGTGCAAGCACTTCCCTTTCCATTACACAGAGAGGAAAATAGAGACTGATGAAGGGAAATGAATCATCTTGAGTTCATTCACTAAAAATGATGAGATTTAGAACTGATGGA